CATGTTTAAGTAGTCTCTGTATTATTAGAGCTTGACTACTTTAATACTACAAACTGATGTATATGCCTAGAGTGCCCTTCTGCCTAAGGCCCATCTGGAAATATATATTTCTCTTTATTTCATAACTCATGCAAATATTTTTAGTTTTCAGTTAAAATGGTGGGAATATCTGTCTCCACCGAACCACTACTTCACTAAAAGTCAGGAAGTGAGGAATGAAGACACAGGAGCCAGGGGCTTGCTTTGGTCAGAAACAGGAATAAAGACATGGATGGAACCTGGGAAAGCCCTTCTGTTGAGTGACTCTGCCTAATAAAAAGGTGGCACATGTTGCATTTCCCAGTGTTAGTTGGATTGAGTTTCAGTATTTAATTTCCTTCACATTCTTTTCAGATAGTGTGACTAATATGTTTTCTATATTCATGATCCTTTTTAATGTAGTTTCTTTAAGACTGGTTTCTCTTGTTGGCTTAGACATAAACAGTTTATGGAGATCTGTTTATCTAGGCATGTCTTGTTATTAAGTCTCTTTATTAACATGTGCCATTCAACTCAGATGTGCTGATTTAATGTTTAAAAGTATACTAATTCACACAACGTTGTCATGAGTAAATATTTGCAAACAAGTATCTGCAATGAATATTATAAGTTGTTTTTTAAATGAATGCACTTTAAGTAAGAAGAAACAGTCAACTGAACTAAGGTGAAAATTCACTTTTGAAGTAACTCTTTGAAATTCAAAACTTGCATTATAGGTTTGTGGTCTAGAAAAAGAATTGAAAAGCAGCTCAGGAGAGGTGGAGGGAAGGATAGGAGAGGAAGGGTATGACTATTTTTGTTGCCACTATTATCTAGATGAAAGTAAATTTTTTACTAGATGAAATAAATTCAGAAGCCTAAGTAAAGCTTCGTTAACTCTGGAGTATGCTGTATTTATGGATATACCTGGTGTCTATTCTCAATGTGTAGATAAACTAGTGGCTAGTATTTATAAAGGCCTAAAATGTTAAGTACTTTGTAAATACAATGAAACTTGTTCTAAATGTCCTCTTACATGTGGCCAAAAAAAAAGTGGCTCTACCAAAGGAGTTTCTTATACAAAATATTTTTAGAGCACTTGGGAGGAGTGCTTTAGACTAGCATTCCTAGTTTTTCTACTGTGTGGGAATATCTTCTGTAATTTGTTTTACTGAGACATTCATGAAGGTTGGGAACAGCAGCAGTGCAAATGGCTGCTTTAGATATGAAATACAAAGCAATTTTAAGGAAGAATCTGGAGTAATGGAGGAGAACTGAACATTATAATAAAGGGAAAGCATAGGAAAGGGCCACCTATTTATTCATGATCAAGAAAAATGCTGTTGAGCAGTTAATGTTTCAATATGTCTGTAATTGTATGTAAAAGTTATCACACGAAGAGGACGTGCTACTGTGGATAAATTAGAAATATTTTTCATTATTCTGGTACCACTGGGAAAAAAATTATTAGTACAATAAGTTACTCAGGATCACTTTATTTCCATTAATGACACAGAAAATATAGCTGAAATTATTAATCCAATGATGAGTTCTTTAAACTTAATCCAATGTTGAGAGCTTTGAGCTTCTATAGAATACACTTAAATAACTGATTTAGAAAAAAATGTTCGTATTTTAAAAAATAAGGCCATCTTTTACTATATGAAAATTAAGTGTTAGGCAGTCACAATTCATAACAGAATCAAACTTCAGTTTTTCTGCACAAGCTTCATATTTGGGACAGATATTTGTCAGTTTGAGTTCTGCACTCAGAAGGAGAGGTAACGAGTTGTAAGTCACAGACACACACACACAAAAGCAGCTGAGTATTTTTACTGCTTTAAGTGTTTTTCTCATTTAAGCCCAATTTGAAATCCTGTCTATTTTTAAACTATTGTCTACAATTAAATAGCTTTATTTGTATGGTTCTGTGGTCAGTACAATACTGACTCAGAGTAGTCACTGTGCCTGATGTTGATAATAAGTAAACAATGTCCACAGTAATAAATGTCTGCAGGGACAAAACTCTTGTATTATACATTATTTTGGATTTGCAGTACATATTCTCTAAGAACAGGTCAGTGAAGCTTTTTTTTTTTTTTTTTTTTAATAACAAATAATTCTTGTCTTTATCAGTAGACCCCTAGAGTCAAGAAAAACAAGGCTGAAGCAGGACAGAAGGAATTAAATTTTGTCATTGCATACCTGATTGTAAGCTCTAATAGTGAAGGGTCCTGCTAAGGCCTCCAAAAAAAACAGGGGACAGTTATGCTTCCTTAGTCAACATTCCAGTTCATCACGTAAAAGATGTTTGTGTATATGTGCACTGTCCATCTTGCCCAACACAACCAAACGTTCGTTATTTCTGCCTTAATAGTAGTATAGTCAAGATATTCCAACTATTTGTCATAGCTCAGGTTTCCTACACTGCCAAGAATAAAGTATAGGGCATGGTGGGATTTTTCCACCTGAAGTATGTATCTTCTGTACAAAATTCAAATCGCAACACAACTCTGTGGCAAGCATGGCAGCTTTATGGACTTTCAGAGGTTGATACCACCCTGTCTCCAAAGTTTTTGTAATTAGTAAAAGATCAGGCTAGCTGTGCACATAGGAGATACAACTTCTCCACTGACATTGGCACAATCTTTCAAAACATTTCCATGACAAATAAATAAACACTTGGAAAAACTGAAAGTCTGTGCTTTATGGAAGACTGAGATCTGCAGAGACACTGGAAAAATCAGTTGTTCTGAAATTGAAAAGCAAATCCTGATTCCCAAATAGAGGTGTGGGTAGCCTGGACCAATACTACCACATAAAATAATGCCAACATCATAGCTGTGGGGACCTTTTTTGTCTGTTTATTTGTTTTGTAATGGGTCCTCAGAGGATTCCAATATTCCTCAAAAGCAGCATAAATTTTGTTGGATGGCTGTAACATTCAGTGTGTCATGATCAGTGACTGATATATGTTGGTCAAGAGTTTGCTTTTAATTAATCTCCTGAGTTTAGTGAGCACCGAGAAGCTTAACTTTCAGAATTGTGTCTGGCAATGCCTGCTGTGATTCAGCAATTAGAAATTCAGCTTTTTTTTTTTTGTTCTTTTTCTGGGAACAGCACTTGCTTTGAGTTTTTTCATCCAATTTGGGACACACTGATTAAATAATATCTTCTGAAAAAATTATTTCTGACTTAAAAATGGTTGCCCCATCCCCTACATAATCAAGATCTTTCCAGTCCACTTTCAGTATGGAGACAGTTCGAGTCTGTTACTTGTTTGGAGCAACTTCAGCTGCCATCTTGCATATCCAGAGTGTCTTTATGGAGCACTTCTGGTGTATTTTAGAATGAGGTATTCTCAGGTGTTGGTAGTTAATGAACTGTGCATAGGGTCTGACTGGAGCTCAGGTGGAAGACAGCAAGTTAAATCCTTATTCCAAAGAAACATCAGAGGGGTGTCAACTGAGGTCTGCTGTCTCTCCAACAGCTCCCACAGTCATATGGGAGCTGTTTCACTCTGCATGATGTTGAAAGGAAAGGTGGAGAGTGGGCAAGAAGGAAAGATTTTCTAGCCTAATTTTGGCTGCTTTGATTTCCAGTGGCTGACCCACAGTTCTTTAATTTCTGAAAATACTGGAAGCATGAAAAGGAAAGCTTGAGTGCCACAAGTGAAAATAGCGTACTGTAAGGCATATGTAAAATACTTCCTGCAGGTAGGAGAGGTGGCTTCAGGTTCTCTCCAACAAGGAAGATCTAACCTAGGCCATCAAGTCCTAGCTGGTTTTTCCACTGAACGTCCTATCCTTTGACCAGTTAAGGTGACTCACTCAAATTGCTGCCGCCTCCTCTAGTGTTTTATTTCCTTTGCTTTTTCACATGTCATATCTTACTTTGATATATCATTCAATGAAAAGTTTGTTTGCTTATTTGTTTTTCTTTTCCACAAATAGTCTAAATTAGTACATTGTGAAATAAATAAAACTGAAGTTATTTTTAATTATTTTGAGCTTGTCAGCTTTTAAGTGCACCACTCTTTTTATTAGCTGGCAATTACACTTTTAGTGATGTAGTAATAAGAACAACTAGATGGGACAAATAAATCATTTTGACCTACGTATACCTTCCATATATTAAAAATTTCACAGAATGAAAGCAGGGCTGACAAATTATCAGGAAAAACAACGATGGTATATAAAAGATTCTTTTTCCTTATTTTTTTCATCAAGTCTGAAGTTAATGAAGAAGGCTTGATAGGGGTCTGTAATTGCCTCTTTTGTTAAAAGCTGTTGTGAATTATTCTGGCTTTGAGAAAAAATGTCTTGTCAATCTCTTCTGTTCCCTCTTTCTGCTTTCATTACCTATTTCAAGGCCTTTACTTCCTCTGCTAGGCGAAGTGCCCAGAAGCCAAGGGAGTTAAGCCGGGCTGCTTAGTTCTGCTTCTAGACTAGTGTCAGTTGCAGCTATGGGAATCAGCCATTTCTGATACTAGTTTCTGCAATGGTTATGTTCAAAATGGCTTTTGTCATCAACTTCATGTTAGAGAGACGTGTTTCAAGACAGGTATCGGGTCTGAACACACTGGTTTGCAGTGACAAGCAAATAAGCAGAAGAATAATATCTTAATATATTTTGGTTTTCTTTCCTGCCTTTCCATTTTATGATTTTTTAGTCAAAATATATGTGTATCTCACCTTTGACAGGATTGTATACCGCTGTGTAAAATATCACCTGTTAGCAATTTTTATCATTGTGACTCACAGCGGAAACCTTGTTATGTATCAAAACAAATGTAACATTATGAAAGAAATGAAATATGGTGTTACTTTGGGTGTCTCCATAACACAGATTTTTTTCTTAGGTTGTTTTTAAAAATTTCTATGATTTTTAAAGCTTAAAAGTAATATTCTTATGTAGCTTTCTGTTACTTTGGATTATGCATACTACAATTAATACATATTTATTGTTGTATTTCTTCACAGATATTTCATTGATCGTAACACAGAAGAAGATAGGTATTTCACCATTGATGCTAGTACTGGGACCATTAAGACTGCCAAGATCTTTGACAGAGAGGAGACACCTTGGTACAACATCACAGTGGCTGCTTCTGAGATAGGTAAATAGTATATTTGGCACAAAGTATTAAAAAAAAAAAAAAATTCAGATGTTTAGAAACATTATCTTGGGATGTTATGTTCTTTCTAACACTACTGGGGTTTTAGCCAGTATGGATAAGAGTTCTCTCTGTGTGTGCAAATTCCCCCAATACCACAGAATTAATGAACAAAACCCCACATGCCTTTGTGAATCCACCTGTATAAGTTTACCATGTTTTTCTGTATGTAATAGAAGGCTGCCAGTTTACCCAGGAGCAGTTCCAAGCATTCAGTGTTCTAAATTCAACAACTTGTCCTGTTCATGCTTCATATTTCGGATATCTTAGAAGACTATATAGTACTGTCTGAGAAAATCATTCTTCCTCCTTGTATCTTCTATTAAATTATTTTAGCGAATTGAATTTTAAATATGCCAATATTAATTTATATCTGACAGGTGCCTAGTCATTGCTGATTATCAGAATATACATCTGGCCTTTTAATAGACAAATTGCCAAATGAAGATACAATAAATAGTTGCCTGTGCATTTGAAAGACTCCAAAGTCTGATGAATTTCCATTGCCTCAGAGAAGCCCTACAACAGTCAAGAAATGCCTGACTGAGTAGTCCCAGATAAATATTTTTACATGAGACAAGGACAGTTTAAAAAACATTTCAGTTAACCTTTATATTACAAGGTCTTTGTTTTGGCACAGTCAAAGTTTTAAAATTAAGAGGATCCAACAAACCAAATTAAAAAAAAAATACCAATCTGGATCAATAGATCCAGTCCTGCTAAGAACTCTTCATGATACTGTTTTTCAATGGCAGTTTTTTATCAAAACTGAACTATTTTTATGTATATTTCTTTCCTTTTTCTTTTTTCCCTTTTTTGAGGTATATTCTGCCATTGACACATAACACAGGTTTTACCTGTAACAGGTGCCACTGACATTATTAAGCCCTGCTCTGCTTTCATCTGTTTCACCTCCAGGTTAAAAAGGATAACAAATTATGTCTTACTATTGCACCTGTTTTCACAACTAAATTGATGTTTTGGACTAAGTAAATTTCTATCGTAAATAGTAGAATCTAGAGTTTTATGGTTAGCCCTTTAAAAAAGGTAACCACTGACACTTCAGTGTGCTTGACAGCATCCTCGTATATAATGTGCTATTTCAGTGCAGCACGAAGTAAAATAGAATTTAAGCCTAATGATAAGCAGGTGCAACGTAAGTGTTAATTTGAATTAAGATTTAAAAGCCACATTGGGACAAACTGACAAAAGGAGTAGTCACTAGTCTTTTTGGGAAACTGTCCAAATGTAATTATTTTGCAGGAATAAATCTCAATAGCACTAAACTTAAATATAGATTTCGACACATTACTTATTTCACATAGTCAAATGAGTGGTAGTACACATACTGTACTGAGAGAAGAGTATGGAGAATGAAGAAGGATTATGTTTATAACTAAAAGGCAATAGAATGAATAATGAAGATTAAATGCCTTCTTTTTTTTTTTTTTTTTTTTTTTTTAAAGACAGCCTGCTTAGATTTCTCCATTCCAGGTGCAACTTTTTACAGGAAAACAGAATTTTTTTTTTTTTTTTTTTTTTTTCTCCCTTGCATTGCCTTTCTTACTCTTAAAGTTGGGGTTGGAAAGATAAGTAAATTTATAATGTCAGTTTGAAAAACAGTTCAGTTATGGAAAAAAGAAGAGACAGCAGTGAAGAAGAGATGGATAGCAGGCAGACTGACAGGCAGCCTAAATGATGGGCAGTCTTTCCTTGTGTCTACTTCTTTGTCCATTGTCTTACCAACAGTAAATTGAAAATTACAACCCTGCTGTACTTTTCCAAATCCATTGTAAAATCAATAATTGGATCTACGATGGAGGAAAGAGCATATGCTGCGTATAGAGCATCAAGGACAAAACTCTTAGGTTAATCTATCCCATATCTACAGCTTTTTACAGCATTCACTTTCAAGTCTGTGCACAAGGAATTGCAGAACTAAAACTAAAGCTGAAAAATAGGAGGAAGACTACAGCCAAAATGTTATTTACCTGTTAGAATGGCAGTCTTCAAGTTCATCTGACATGTTAGAAGGCATTTGTAGCTTCTGACACCATTTTCTTAGCCAGAAACATAGCAGAATTTGCAAGGCCTGGAAAGATTGTTCTACTTCAACATTAAGAGGTGTCCTGCTGAAATAATGTTACAGTTATGGTTAGTTTCTTAAAGTGTTTTCCTCTCTTGATGATGCTATACTTCACTGACAGAATTCAGTTTCTACTGATCATCTTTGGGGCAGCAATTTGTAGATGTTCTTACTTTATACAAAAGAAATTTAGAACCAACATCATATTTCTACCCTCAAATGTATGATATCCTCATGCCTCAGCCTTACTTTTTCTGAATGGTGGACTGAAAATTGTCAGAAATGGCAGGCTCAGAGAGTTGTGATCAGCAGCCCAAAGTGCAGCTGGAGGCCAGTCAATAGTGAAGTACCCCCAGGGGCTGATAGGAGATACAGTACCATTTAATCTCTTCATTAATGAACTGGATGTGCACTCTCAGCCAGTTTGCAAATGACACAAAACTGGAGTAATGGCTGATACACCAGAGGGTCGTGCTACCATTCAGAGGGATCTCAGAAGGCTGGTGAACAGGAACCGTGTGAAATTCAGTAATAGGAAGTGCAGAGTCCAGCCCCTGGAGAGTAATAATCCCATGCACCAGTATACATGCAGGGCCAACTGGCTGGAGAGCAGTTTTTCAAAAAAGAACGTGGAGGTCCTGGTGGATGCAAGCTGAACATGAGCCATCAGTGTGCCCTGGTGGAAAAGCAGCCAACTGCATCCTGAACTGGGTGAGGAAGTGTTGCCAGCAGGCAGAGGGAGGTGATCCTTCCCCTCTGTACAGCACTGGTACAATGCTGGTACTCCCCAGTATGAGAGACACGGAACAGCAGGACTAAGTACAGTGAAGATGCCTGAAATCATTAGGAACTAGAGTATCTGTCATGCAAGGAGAGACTGAAGGAGCTGGGACTGTTCAGCCTGAAGATGAGAAGGCTCAGAAGGAGCTTATCAGTGTATTTACACACCTGATAGGGGGAGTAAAGAAGATGAGTAAAGGTGAGGAAAGACTCATCTGACTACTATCCAGTAAAATGACAGGAGGAAATGTGCATAAATTGGAATACAGAACATTCCATTTGAACATAAGAAGAAAAATGTTTTTATTGTGAGATTGGTCAAAAACTGGGAAAGGTCACCTAGAGAGGTTGTGGAGTCTCTGTTCTTGGAGGTACTCAACTGGACATGGGGCAGAGACCCAGCACTGAGCAGGGAAGTTGGACCTGCTGATCTATGGAGGTGACTTCCAACTGCAAGCATTCTGTGATTTTGTGATATTTGGAACTGTGTGTTGAATGTGGGGAAGGAGATGACAAATATTTCTCACAAATAGTGATATATTCCAAAAGAACAGAGATGGTTGTAAAAATAATTGTGGGTGATTCAATTAAGGTTTCTTTCTAGCATATAGTAGTGTTGATAACAAAAACGAAAGCAATGATAACAGCAGACCCCAAAATCACAGCCCCTGCAAGAGAAAGGTGGCACTAAAATATAAATTGATGGACTTCTGCCAGCTCCAAAGCCAATTTCAGTTGGTTTTCAAAGCAGTGCTGCAAATAGGACCAAGAATAGTATCTTTGAAGTCTTTGTGTTCAATAGGAAGGAATAAAAGCTGATTATTGAACGAATCAGAGAATGTCTTAATTTGAGAATCAAAGTGAGGATTGTAGCTTTCACTAGACATTTCTACTTAGAAATAAAGCAAGGAAGACTGTGTCAGGAAACTCCTTTTAGATATTAATTTGAATAAATTAACTGACTGTGTTCAATATCTGCTCAATAGACAAAGAGCAAACCAGCTTATAGATATGTCTTTCAGGTGAAGCTAACATCAAGAGATTATTTGGATTCATGAAGTACTGGACATTTAGATGGGCAATAAGAATATCTGTGGTTGCAGTAAGAAATGTGATTATTTTGGAAGCCAGATAAGTGCTTATATTTCAGGGCAGATACAAAAGTTTATATTTCGGAGATTTAGAATATATTTTCTATCGAGAATCTTTCACATATTTCTCTTCTGCATCTGGTAAGTATATAAGTGTATAAAATAGATTTCTGGTTTTACTAGATCATCAGTCTTTTGGGGATGAAGTTGCAGTGTTCATGAGTGTCTCCAAAATGCTCTGTAATGGCTGAGAACAATTTGTCTAAAGAACCAACTTAAATGCAATGAATGCACAAACATATTTTTGAAGAGTCTGTATAGAGTTCCTAATCTGTAAAGCTGTGGAGAGGTTGTGGAGAACAGAACTGAAAGAATAGGGTTCCTCTCAGGTTCTGTCAGATCCCCCAGACTTAAAGAAACGCTAGCAAGAGACATCGTAAAATGACCACATGAAAGGATACTGTACATACAGAGCTTTTATACCACAGTGTATTAGAAATCAAAATACTTAAGAGTCATCATTATGCAATCGATTTTACAGACAAAACAAAAATCTCCAAAGCAATCAGACAAAATCAGATATTGGAGGAAAACCAAAGACATTTGTCTGTGGTTTTATGTCTTCTGTATTTGCTTCTCCATGCATATTCCTCATACTAGCTTCAGGGAAAAAGATGCCAATGTGTTGAGTTGGAGCAGCACCTCGTTGACAAAATATACAATACCCTATGATTGAAAGGATCACACCAAAATGCAGTCATTTCAAAAACCACACAAAGAAATACATTTCAGAGATTTTTTCATAGAGGGCAAATAAACACTGTTCAGAATTAAAATATGAGAAATGCAGGACAGCTCACAATAATAACAGCTTGGAACAGTTAGCTTCGAAGAATTAGGGTAAAAACATTAAAAAGCATGTTCTAATTATAACATAAGGAGTCTTTTCATCAGTATGTTTTGGTAGAAACAGAAACAATAACAGA